CATAATATGCATATGTAATCATTATATGTAATCATTATATGTAATCATTATATGTAATCATTATATGTAATCATTATATGTAATCATTATATGTAATCATTATATGTAATCATTATATGTAATCATTATATGTAATCATTATATGTAATCATTATATGTAATCATTATATGTAATCATTATATGTAATCATTATATGTAATCATTATATGTAATCATTATATGTAATCATTATATGTAATCATTTAGCATAAAATCAGGAGTATGGTATTCATAGTTGTAAATTGATGATAAAAGGCGACAGGGTTTTGATCTCCTAACAGTAAATAAGAAACTATTCTATATCTTATGTCTGAGGTGGACTGTACCTGAGTCACTCTATCCCCAGTCTGGAAACAAAATGCAATCTACTGCATCAGTACTAATGTACTAATTTATTCATAATGTACATTTTTATTATTTTTAGTAAACTGCTTATACATTTGTACATTATATTACTTTTAGTTTTATAATTTGGAATGAAAACATGAGTCATGGCTTAAATCAGTAAACAAGAAAATCAATATTATTATAAAGTAACTCATCCAATATTTGTGCAAAAATAGTGGCAAAATATGTAAAGGAAGATTCTTGGTTAATTGACAACAATAACTGAACTGTATAAATATCCCTGGCTGTAGTGGAAACTGAATGTTGAATCAATCATAAACAATCATGGCAACTTGTGTGTTTACCTCAATTAATATGGATCTACTCAGAATGCAGTATTTCAGTTGTTTTGACATAGCGTCATGATTAACGGCAGATAGGCTGTAGATGGAAAGCAAGTTGAACTTTTTAACATCAAGTTTTCATGGCCTCACATGAAGCCTGCAAAGATTTTTTATTTCATTGATGTTTTAATTATTATTACTTTCATAAAATGTTTTATTTTCAACATTGGAATCATATATTTAAAATTACATTGTAGCTGCATTAGCTAAAATAAAGACATTATACTTTTTTTTCCAATAAATGTTAAATACAATATTTGTTCTACATGTAAAAATATATCTTAACTTCCGCAGGTGAAATAGTTTTAGAAGGGATTGCATTTTTTGGGAAAAACCTTTGAGAAAAATTGACACTGATAATGAATTTGCCACCCACCCCTGACCCTGAAAGTACCAGGATTAAATCTCAAGCCGAGAGCTTTTATCTGAAAAGCAGGTACCTACATGTATACAGGTATATAAACTTGATTTATTCTGTTATAGGTACATGTTTGCTTCAGCCTCCCCTGATAACATCAAACAGTGGAAGTGTCCTGATGGAAGTTTTCTTCAGAATCTCTCTGGTCACAATTCTATTGTTAATTGTTTATCTATGAATACTGATGGTGTGATGGTCTCTGGAGGTATGCTACTACAAATCATTACATTACAAATAAAATCAGTTTACTGTTTAACCATTACATTTTAGTTTTCTAGAAATTTCAGTTATTTGATAATATACCAATGGGAACTTTAAAAAAAAAACCAGTTAACAGTTGATGTCGTCAGTTTCTGTTTGTTGATGATGTCCTCAGTTCCTGTTTGTTGATGATGTCGTCAGTTTCTGTTAGTTGATGATGTCGTCAGTTTCTGTTAGTTGATGATGTCGTCAGTTTCTGTTAGTTGACGATGTCGTCAGTTCCTGTAAGTTGATGATGTCGTCAGTTCCTGTTTGTTGATGATGTCGTCTGTTCCTGTTTGTTGATGGTGTCGTCAGTTCCTGTTTGTTGATGATGTCGTCAGTTCCTGTTTGTTGATGATGTCGTCAGTTTCTGTTTGTTGATGATGTCATCTGTTCCTGTTTGTTGATGATGTCGTCAGTTCCTGTTTGTTGATGATGTCATCAGTTCCTGTTAGTTGATGATGTCATTAGTTCCTGTTAGTTGATGATGTCATCAGTTCCTGTTAGTTGATGTCATCAGTTCCTGTTAGTTGATGATGTCATTAGTTCCTGTTAGTTGATGATGTCATTAGTTCCTGTTAGTTGATGATGTCATCAGTTCCTGTTAGTTGATGATGTCATCAGTTCCTGTTTGTTATCATTTACTTTCTGCTATCTTATTTGCTTTTTTCTAGAAGTGCATGTAAACCAACAGTTGCATGTATTGGATCATTATTTTGACTATAAACACACTTCTGTTATTTATGTAAGCGTATGTTATATAGAAGGCCAATACAGTATACCATATTTGTTCTATTTGAAGCATATCAAATTTTAGAACATGTTGAAGTCTGAATATGTATAATAACCATCTTAGAATCATACCAATCTAACAGCTCTAATGTAAACTCTTGTCATTTACTAAGGTCATGTGCTTCAAATAAAGCAAATACAGTAGGAGATATTTCAGATTATACAAAATGTAATCCTTACTCATGTGTGTTCAGGTGACAATGGTAGCATGTATTTCTGGGACTGGAAGACTGGATACAACTTCCAAAGAATCCAGACAGCAACCCAGCCTGGATCCCTGGACAGTGAAGCCGGTATATTTGCATCTACGTTTGATCACAGTAGCAGTCGACTGATCACAGTGGAAGCTGACAAAACTATCAAGATATATAAAGAAGACGACAACGCTGTAAGTATGCTCTTATCACTTTTGATGAAATGTTTCCACCAGCAAAGTGTGCCAGTCTGACCATGGTTATTCTTACATATTTCTTTCTAATATTTGTGCCATATTTTCTCTATTAGATATACATGCACTAACATTTGTTTGTATAGTATGCTGTTAAATTTGAGTTTGACACACTCTGTCATGTATGTAGGTACATGTACATGTTCTACTATCGGAACAAATAATGTACATGCTAATGATCTAAGAAAACACAAGCATTGACATAATCTATAAAAGTAGCATTGCCGCATGGTTATACTATGCAGTCATCAAAGAAAACAACAAATTACAAGTCTATAAAAAGCATATGTGGTCTAGGCTTTATTCATGATCTAAAAAACAGATTTGTTTGGGAGCAAATTCACAAGTGATGAGCAGTTCTTGTCTATAAAAACTCAATTAATTCACAGTAGTAAAAAGAATTATTTTTTCAGTAATTTCAGTATTTTTGTACTTGTTTGCAAATTAATAGAATCATTTTTAGTTGATTCAATCAATGGTGATTCAAATGGAAATGGACACAGACAGGTTACATTTACCATGATATAAACTAGCACTGGCAGGTTTAGTGTGAATTTCACGCACACACAACACTAGTGTCACTCCAATGGAGGCTTGTAGAATATCTGCAAATCTGCCAAAAAATAACACTGTTACATTTAAGTTACGCTCAAGATTGACATTCTAAAGAGTAGGTACACTTGTTTTACCACAAAAATATATGACACAAGATACAATCAGCAATTGAAAACTACATAACTGAGGGCTTAGTCAGGCTTGTATGATAAAGCAGTTATCCATTCAAAAATGTGATTTCATGCTTCAGCTGACTCA